GATGTACGTAGATGCGTGATACTCATTATTTTTAAGCAATGTTGAAATAGATAACCAGGGAAAATGGTGGCTTAAGGTAGAGTGCGCCTTCACATGGCTGAAAGGCCATTTTAATTATTTTACTCGATTTACAACCGAAATGTGGTATGTATGATATTCGGCAACAATAATAGAACAATGCCACAAACCTTTTGCTTCTAAGTTGTATTATGAAACGAGATCGTTATTTGTTGGTAACCAACATTTGCACAGTTCTAATACGACACCCTGTGGCGGGTCCATATAAATGCAGCTGAGTTTTCTGTTGCGTCTCTTCCTACATTCAGACCCGGTATGAGAAACTCTGGTTTGGGATTCCAGGTGCTTGCGTTTCGTGTTGCTGTTGAGACGTTCGGGAGAATATAAAAAAATCTTCAGGCAGACTTCGCTAATTAATGTACAACGGAAAACCTTAAAAAGGATAGACTGTAACATGGCGCTCTGTATCAGGAGCACAGTTAGGCATTCTATGCAACTTGATAAAAACTTTGCCCTGTTTAAACTTGCAGTCTTTACAAACGTCATATGTCATATAATCATTTTGGAATGTTTTTGTGGATAAAAGGAAAACAATGAAAAATATCACAAGAATTAGGAAAATGATCACCTAAAACAGGTATTGTAATGACAGAAAATCAGTGGATGTACAGCAACTCATGAATCCAGTGTCTGGTGTAAGCATAACCAATACCAAAACCCGTCAAAGCTTAAACTTTGTGATAGGAGAAACAATGGTTATGCTTAACCCTTTTTCAAAAAGTTAAAGGGAACTGAGAAAGTTTCCTTTACAGTCCCTTGAACATACTGTACAGTGCGAGCAAGTTTCCTTGCCGATACAGTAACGGGAAAAAGCTGATGGGGACTGCACCAACTGCTGCATTTCCACTGGGGTGCACATCTCTGCAGTTTTACTCAGCTGTTTTAGCAGTCTGAACTGATTGCGTGGTATCTAGTTGTGCACAGAGAGCACCTCTAAATTGCACACCTGGGAGACAACCTGTCGTAGCATGAAAGCTGATGTTCGGATTGTTGCTCTGCTCAAGCCGCCTGTGTGCTCATGAGTCAGCAGTTCGGAGGGGTGGAAAGAGATGGCGTCATTCTCAGCTGCTTTCAGCCAGGCTGTCAAGTCAGCAGCCGACTTCAGCAAAGGAACACAGATGTCATTAAAGTCAAAATGCACTGAATCCGCCGTAGAGACAAGGCACACTAATACAACACGAGCACGACCCCTGTGACATCCTGGAATGTCATACTAGAAATGTACTTCATAGCCCTTATGTGGGTTACAACTGGACAGTCAAAGTAAATACAAATTTTAATCAATGGAGTAGAATCAAAGGGCTGGATGTGATGGCCTTTTTAATTTCTATTTTAATGATGGTGATCACAGGCAAGACAGGATTTTGTTTACAAGCGGGTTTTTTTTAAATCAATAATTGCAAATGTAATTTCTTCCAACCTACTGAATCACAGCAAATAAAGTGCCCTATTGTAACAGTGAGCTGTGAACCCAGGTGTTAAGTCATGAAAATGGAATCAATCACACAATTGGACACTGCACATGAGGCCTACATATATGCTGGGGATGGACTGTTGAAAGATTTGCTTAGAAACGGCTTTTTTCCCCACATTTAAAAAACATACTTTGACATTGTACAATGTATGGACAATCTTTTAAAATGGACTCACTTTAAACCAAAAGAGAGAAAAGAATTCCAAAGGCATCAGAGTGCTTTTTGTGCAAACTGGTTGATTTTGTCTAAAAGGACTTGAATCAGTAATGAAAGTTGCACAATGGAGTTAACTCTTTTGACTACAATAGAAAAAGCAGATTATCACCTTTGAAAAACTTACAAAAACATGTCTGATGTAGGGGCAGTAATGGACAACATGCAGGTTAGTCAAACTGAGCTTCTAATTACATTGTTGATGCAGCACTTGAAGTCCCCATTTACTAAAACACTAAGCTACAGGCAATAGAAAAAGCAGGCATCCAAATTAAATAACAGAACCTTTCTTCACAAAAAATAAATGTCGTAAATAATCAGCTCTACAAAATTTAACCTGCAGGGATTCTTATTTAGCTCCCTGATAAAGGAATTATTTTTTAAAAAATCAGCTAAAATTCAAATATCACAAAGCAACACAATAAAATATATTTACAAACCTATTCAATACTCCAAAATAGCTGGGCTAAAATCCTCATTTTTTAAATTATAAAATATATGCTGATGCATGAAACCAAAACCCAGGCAAACTGAATATGTCTGCAATGTTGTGGTTGCTATTTCATTGGATATGGTTTGCTTTCAGTTTTGTTTACCATTTTAATAATCATGACAAAGGATTTCTTCTTCATATAGGAACAATGTGTCCTTTGCTTTGTAATCTAATAATCAGTCAGTAAACTTTATAGAAAAAACTGGCTTGTCATTGTTATTTTCCATTTATCATTTGGAGAGGTATCTATTAAGCCAATTAAGATATGGTTTACTTGCTGCAAAGGCAAACCATACTGATAGCCATAGCTAAGTATATAAATCTGCATCTTTAAAATATAATTGCTGTGTACATGTGTTTTTGAGAAAGTGCTTAATTTAATACTTCTATAATTTCCACGTTACATGAATAACTACAATCAATCAACTGATCTATGTTCCGGTTTTACTTTTTATCACTATCCTAGACAATCAGAGGTGTAGAATTTCTTAAGTATGAAACATTTATAATGCTGAAAGTCAGCATTTTTTTTTTGCAAGGAAAAAGCTTTTGTTTTTGTAATACCAGTCCCAAGAAATAGTTTGTTTTTTTTTTAAAAAAAAAGGGTCTTTAGAAAGGTACAAAATGTTACCTGGAACAGAGACTTGATTTTTAGGCTGTCTACTGTGTAATACAGTGAGAAAAGGTAATAAGTGTGTGATTTTCAAGCCACCCCACCAGGACACATCCTCATTTTCTTAGTCACAGCTGTCTCACCAGGACTTCAAACACTTACTGCAAATAAAGTTCAGTTCCAACTCATATATTATTTATTCCATTTAAAGGATGTTTACTACAATACACAGGTTTGTCTTATAAATAATGCAAACACGCTGTGCTGTGATTTTGTATTGTTTTGAAAATGCTCAGTTTTTTCATGCTGAGACTTTAAATATTTACATTTAATTAAAGGACTAAGAGCAAAGTTGTATGTGTGTGTGTGTTATGTGCCCCAGGTTTCTAATTTCATTTTGTTGTTGTCTTGGACGATCTGGTCCTCAATTCCATGACTGGACATTACAACTGATGTCAACATGATTTTTTAGAACAATTTATATAATGTGATTTTAGTGATATTTTGAAATTTACACCTCAACTTAAATTAAGCTGAACCTGACCAAGAAAATAATGTACACCTTTATAGTTCAGTGAAAAGTTGCACCTAATATGATTCTAAAATATTTCCCCATCAGGAATCTTTGTTTTTTAGAATATCTTACAGTGCCCTCCAGATTTATCCATACCCTAACGAAATAGGAACAAAAACATGCTATTGAGCAATGGACTGGACAGTGCATCTACTTTTAATCTAATCTAAAGATGTAATACTGTAATTGTAATAGCATTTAACACAGAAATGTCACAGTTTTAATAAATAACTGAATTCCAGAGTAATGTTTATTCACGCCTTTATGCGATCCTAATGTTATCTGCATGAATCTGGCATTCATGGTTGGGGTACAAGGAAGAACCCTGTATTATCTTGGATTTACTGCATTACACCGATACCTGGAACCTTACCAGCAGATACAAAATTGAGCTTTTCGGACATGCCCACGAGTGGTATGTATTATGTTTCACATACAAACAGAAAAGCTTATCAGAAAACACCTGTGCCTCACTATGAAAGATGGCAGGGGGTTGTTTTGCTTCCACAGACCCTGGAGCCTTAGCCAAAATAGGGGGAATCATGAACTCCCAACACAGACAAGAATAGTTTGTCCAAGCTGTTAAGTACCACAAATCTGCTTAAAAATTTCAGCATGACAATGATGTAAATCCAATCAACAAAGAAATGATTAACTACACAAAATATGTTCTCGACCAACCATTTCACTCTCCAAATATCAGTCCAATCTGATGTTTCTGGTTTGAACTCAAAGAAGGCAAATCATAAACCGAATGATTTGAAAGACGCACCGCAATCCTGCCAGGAGGAACAGTCAATTCCACCCACCCTCCATCAGAAATGCAACATAGCACACTATAGGAGGCATCTTGTGAGTGTAATCTCTGCCAGAGGAGGATTTACCAAATACTAACTGTATGGGCTGTGAATATATTAACCTTAACATTTTCTGGAAAGCATTATTCATGAGAACTATCATTTTGCTCTGTGCAATACTATTAAGATTACAGTAACATTTTTATACTTTCTTTAGGGAAGACCGATTATCCCATCCACATATCTATTATATAATTAAACAATGTTTTTGATACTATTTAACGGGGGGTAGGAATAAGTATAGAGGTAACTGTATGCAGTATGTTTAGTTGTCACATCACCCTATTTTCCTTTTCCTAAAACTATTTATTGCAGTACCTGCTGTTCTATAGTTTGGCATTAAAAACAAATATTTCAAGTTTGCTGCTTGCAAACAGCAAGCAGATTTTTTGTATTTCAATTGACTTTGAATTAGAAGTCCTGCTGCCATAGTTCTTTGCAGCACAGTTTCTCTCAACAGGCAAATCAGTAATATTTAAATTACAACCTTATCCTGTTACTGAACTCCAGAAACAATTAGACAACTGCTGTGGCCTGGAAGTCTGAAGTCTGCTGAAAAAAAAAAACACTACAAAGGGGAAAAATGACTATTAATCACAGAACATTGGTCTGGAAAGGAACAAAGTTATTGTCTTGTTTCTTTAGTTAACCTTAAGCATCTTTGCAAGAATGAAAAATCTATTCTGACTGTTATGTGCCTTAGGTCATTGTCCGCTTCATCTTTTAAAATAAAAACCCTTTCTGATTACGGTGTGACAATACTGTCTGCACAGAACGTGCCCATGTGTCTGACTTGCTCCCAGAATACACCCATACTGAACATGGGGCCGAAAAGAGTGAAATTCTTAAGTAATGTCCCATCCTCAAAATTCAAGTTTGGCAAAACATTTAAAAAAAAACTTCATCTCATAAATACAGTAATACTTGTTCCTAAAAGCTACCAGACATACTACATAAGATACCGAAAGTCTAGAAAAACCTATGTGACACTTTGACAATGCACATGCTACCTCTCTTTAATTCTTGTTTCTCTCATTCTTGATGGACATACAGTACTGTATTATTCAGAATGGAGGACATGTGCAGGGGAGGGGGTGGGGAGCTCCACAATGTCCTAGATAAAAGCTGCAGCACAGCAGAAAGTTAAGTGTTTGCATGTGTCTTACCCTGATCCCATGGGGAGGAGGAAAAAGCCTAATACGTCCTTCTGGTCTACAAGTATACAAACGGAAAAACACAGAGTTCCTCCTGAACAATATTAGTAGCGGGTAAAGCCAAGAACACAATCATATAAAAGTTCTAATTAAACACAAAAAGAGTGCAAACTAACGATAAACACCGGGGGGGGCAGGTGGGGAACTGGGGCTCCGCGCTGTGACATCCTTTGGTTTTATCAGGAGAGTGGGGGGGGGGGGGAGGGGTGTAGTGGAGCTTGCTGCCTACATCTCTACCTGCAAGGCATAAGGCAAGTCACGGGTAACTGCCAGGAAGCGTTGAAGAAAAAAAAAATCCTGCCTCCCTCTCATTGGTCGATTCGCAGCAGGGGGGCCAAACCGCTCCTGTGGGGGACAGCCTGATGGACCCTGGGATACCTGGTCCCACCCATATGCACATTTCATCCGGAATCTGCTTTCTTTCACAACAGCAGATGGAATTTGAATATTAACTGATGTGTGAACTCGTCTGCCACTGACCCGCTCGAACGTGTCAAGCTAGCGCGGGCACACCTCAGACAGTATCATTTCATTCTGAGAGCTGAAGGCAAGAAAATTCATTCATTCTACTGCAGAAGATTCTGGAGTAGAAGACTCAGAAGAATCTTAGTAACAGAAGACAGCCAATTTCTCCCTCGTCCAAATAAGCTGACACTGACATTTCCACAGCATGGGACACAGTGGCCTTTTGTTGCTTAGGGCATCTTCACCTCAGATACAGAAATGACAAACTCATATCGCTGCTCACTGCAGACACAGAATCCAGTACTGGGACATAACAGCTCAAGACGATTGCAATAAAAACTAGATCACTTCATCCGATTTCTGGAAAGCACGTGTGGATTTGTTTTTCTCAGTTTCTTTCACTGACATGTCGCACAGAATGGTCTTGCATGCCCTTCTCCAATGGCTCTTAGGTCATTAGGGGAAATCAGGCCAGGTCCTCTTATATCCAATCAGTACTGGATTTCTGCCAGTTAGAAATGGCAAAACACCATATGACTGTTTGGGGGGAGTGCCACAGGCTGGGCCTTCATCTTCCCCAACCTGTCAAATGAGGAACTCCCCAGGGCAGGGCTGGCTCCCACAGGCTCGGTTTGGCACTTGAACGCTGGCTTGTTTAAGTTTCAGTTCAGTTATCGATTGGTTTGTCTGCTAAGTCCCTCTCTCTCCGGCCCTGTGTGTGCCCAGGTCCGCCTGCGGCATGGCGCGAGCGGGCGGCTGTCCTGGCAGGCCGGCGCTCCCCTCGGCGCACTCCAGTCCCCGGGCCGGCGCTACTGCAGGTTCTTCAGGATGCGCCCGTAGCGGAAGTCGTAGACGTGGCGACACAGGAACACGAGGTCAGGGTCAATGTGCGCGGGGACGCGGCGGTGTGCCGGGATGAAGTACTCGGGGGAAGGCGGCACCATGGGGGCGCTTTCGGGGAGACCCTCTCCACGCCGCTTTACCAAGGCACAAAATCTGAAAGAAGAACCCAGGGCACACCTTCATCGGTCTCCAAAAGCAAGCACACAGTTACCCAGACATTCATTTTCCTCAAGAACCATCACAAATTATTTAAAGGAGAAAAAAAAATGTGCTGTTGGATGGAAAGTCACTGTTACAGTCTGTGATCTGAATGCTGACTGTGTCCTACACCAAACAGCAGCTCAGTGTGACCCATAATGATGCCTTCTGTACATATCTGCAATTGTACCAACATCACACACAGTCTGCAGATACCCTAATATGTCCAGGTTGACTAAACAGGGACTGTGACTACTAATGTACAGTAAAAGCAATCTTGTAAAACACTAGGGAATGATATTCTGCATTCATGAATTTGATCTTAAGTCATCTGCGCTTGTTTGCTAAATATTGTGCAGTTTTGTGCAGTTTTTGCTGGAATTTTGTAGAGTAAAGAAATCCCCCTTTAAATGTAACTTAACACAAATGGATCTTGCAGATTTGCCCATAGGAAGTTTCTTTAAATGTTTCATTTCTGAATAACACCTTCAACTGGTACAATGAAATTTTTGTTTTGACAGAAATATGGCCAGGAGCAAACTATTTTTCCCAACTGGTGTTATTTTGCATTGTTAGATGTACAAATACAGCTCAATCCATAAAAAAGAAACAAGTTAATCTGAGGCTAACATCAAGTGTTTTTTGCAGCGTCCCAGCTGACACCAGCACAAAGGCTAAAAAAATAATAACTTTGTACATGCTGATTTCAGACTAGTCAAATGGGAGATTCTTGAATAAAAACATTGAGATGCTTTTGAAATGATGCACCAAAGTAACTGCATCTCCTACAAACCTCCTAATTAGTGGACAATTCTCGTAGAATAAATAAATTGTTGAATGGGGGGCTGCGTCTGTGTGGAAAGAAACAAGTTTAATTCCACACTGAAAAGTAGAAAGAAGAAAAACAACACTTTGACGGCTGACGCCTGAAACAGGCTCAACATTGAGTCTTCCTTTTTTCTACTTTTCAGCATGGAATTTACCTTAGCCTGTTCCTAATTAAGTCTTCTCCATGGGCAGGGGAACACATGAGCTCAGAATCAACACAACAATCGACAGTTACACGATTTGTACAGCAACGTGCGCCAGTGCCACCTACCTACAGTATTGTGCTAATGTCAGGACGTAGCACTTATCTTCTATGCAGGCCACACTGTTCTCATCCTGATGCCGAGATGCAAATATCTCATTCTGAAACGGGGGAGAAAAACATTCACATGACAAACTGAGGACTGAATAAAGCACCACACTGCCCCACACTGCTCTGCCCACAAAATACCCACTAAATTTGCTTAGGGTTGTCCCCCACTACTGACAAATGGTTGCACATTGACGGCTCTGATTTATGAATGCTTTTAGTGCAGGTCGGCGACGGGGGTATAAAAAATATCCGAAGTCAGAAATACTGAAAATATCTCTTCTCAGAGCAAAAAACTATTGTAGAAGTCTTTTCATCTTGTAAACAATAGCAAACTAAATTCCAGAACTGTAAATTCTAACAAATCCAACTTCTAGAAAGTCTAAGAGTTAGCATTATATACAACACATAACGCAAGATATTAACTTCATAACTTTGTTACAATCAACAAGTCTCCCACAAAACGTCTTATTAGTAGGACAGTACGTGAACTACTGACCTCACAGTGCATGCTGGGAATTCTGCCCCCTTGAGTGTGTTCTGGTCGATAATACCAAAACAAACTCATCATGAGTTCTCCTGAAGGACAAGAACACAACACACTGGTCAGGGCAAGACTGCAGCATGGATCATCTCCATCAGACAGGCATAAGTAACAGCAGCTCTCAACAGAACAAGACAGAAGACAAACATGACTTTGCAGCTTTGTTACAGACATGTGATTATACCACACTTCTAAATGACTGTCTATAAAAAAAACTGAAAATATATTATACTCTAAATTTCATTTAGCACAGGTATTTCAATTTTCTCACATCTAAACTTACTAGTTTTACATATACCCCCCTCCTACATGAGTTGTAAATAATTTAATTTAGTAAATAATAACTGTTAATTACCCAATTTACTAGATGAACCAAATAACCTTTTTTATGTTCTTAATCCTTAATCTCCTTTTATAACAATTTTGTTCAAAATTCAGCCAATAAATCAAAGTTATTCCAAGAACACCAGGTTTGGACGCTGCTGGTTCTCTTGAGCCTCCCAGAAGGAACATCAAATACAATGTGTCCTTTTTGTGTTCGACAAACTCATGGCTCATTAATTCAAGAGAAAAACCTCCAGCCTCCAGTGAAATGCTAGGATTGGTGAATTACGAGCACTTGTGGGTTTCTAAAAAGCCTGTTTTGCAACCACAAAGAGCAAAGGGGGGAGTTAATATCGGCAGACATAGGACTTTACAGAGAAAGTACCAAGAAGATCATCCGCTCAGGTTAAAAAGCAAAGCCACTGAAGCTGAAAAGACAACACATTTTAAAGAAAAGAGAATCCAATACAATTTATATGGCTTTCTTAACAATGATACATTTATATAAAGGAATTTCATGAGACAAATAAGAAGCCACATGCCAGTTAAAAAAAGCCACATATTAGTTGGAGGATACGACAAGGGGTGAGAGACAAAGCTGCCAATTGGAAAGCTTTTTGCAAACTCCTTTTAAAAACGATGAGGGGAGAGCAAGAGTAACAGTCTGTTTACAGCTGAATTAAGAAAGCCTCCCTAGTGTCTGAAAATGAAACGATACAATCTACCACCTGACAGAGAGGAAAGGGATATCTGGTGTTTAATTAGGAACGGTAGCCTGGGTCTGCTCACCAGTCTTGGGGTCTTCCCACAGGGCAGAGATTTTGGCCACATAGGGGAGGGACTTCTTGCGTGGTCCAGAACGGAGCAGGACAGTGTCTCTGACCCGGATGATCTCCCCGTCCCGCTGCACTCCTTCGTAACACCGCCGGAGGGCAGGCTCATCCTCCCCCTGCACCGAAAACACAGGGCAGCCCGCTCACATCAGCGCTGACAGGCACGTGCCAACCAACCACCTTTAGGGGCCGAAGCGATCGGGCTCCCTCAAACTATACTGCATGAGGCAAGGATCAAGCAGGAATCTAGGACAGCATTACTGTACACAGATGCAGATTTAAAAAACTCCCCCAAAACAAAGCAAAACTCATGAGAAACATAAGGTCACTGCCAAGAAGGTTTTCCATCTATAAAATTCTGGATTTTTCTGATCCAATTCAAACTGGTCATCTGTCTGTTACTCAGAAGAAATGCCCTGTACTACTGTGCCTGCTGATATCAGAAGAGCTGGACACATTGGGAGGGACTTGGGAAAGGCCAGCAGCTACAGTATATCATCCTGCAACTCACAGCTGGCAACTCACTGAAGCTCAGCATCCCATCCAAGTACAGCTCACACCCAGGTACTGTGAACCTGGTCAGTACCTGGATGGAAGTCCTCCTGGAAGAGGTGTTAATAAGACCAGGGGGCGCTCACTCTGCAGACTGCGTGAGTCCTAATGTCCCAGTATAGCGACGAGAACACTTTCTTGTAAAAAAAAGCCGTCTTTTGGATGGGACATCAAACCGAGGTCCTGACTCTCCATGGTCATTAAAAACTCCAGGGCATGTCTTGAAAAGAGGGTGGGGGTGTTAACCCCAGTCTCCTGGCCAAATTCCCCCTGGCCCTTACCAATCATGGCCTCCTAATAATTCCCATCTATGAACTGGCTTCATCACTCTGCTCTTCTCTAATAGCATACATTCTCTGATGCGTGGTGAGCAGACTGGTGCACTATGGCTGCCATCACATCACCCAGGTTTGAGGTACATATTGGTGGTAGTCGAGAGGAGTCCCCATTACCTGTTAAGCGCTTTTAAGTGGCGCGTCCAGAAAAGTACTAATTAAGTGTAAGGATTATACTCATAATCATAATAAGGAAATAATTACAATAAAGGGGCCGACTCACCACTATGAAGACTTCCTTCTCGATGGGCAGGCCGATGGGCAGCCAGCCATTCGTGGCCCGGCGGCGAGTTATCCTCTGCTGCTTGCCCGTGCTGCTGGCATGGCCAGGGGTGAGCTGGCTGTCAGAGAGATGGGGGCAGCCGGCGGTACTGCGGACCCCAGAGCGGGAACCGCTGGGGGGTTTGGCACTCTGGGGGCACTCCCGCGCCACCTTCAGCTGGGCCTGGGGCTGGCTGGGGTCCGAGAGGGGTGTCTGCACGTGTGGCACTGACTGGGCCGCAGGAGGCACCGTGGGCACCGGGCATCCTGAGAGGGGCAGGGTGGGAGAGACTGGAATGGCTGGGCTGTGCCCATCCAGGGAAGTGATGTAGCTCTCTGAAACGCACAGAGCTCACAAGATCAGCAATGTACTCACACACACACACAACTCTAGAACACCTGACAAGCAGCTCAGCAACACTAAACCAACAGTAGGTTAGAAATATATTTAGAATACAAAACACACTAGAAAATGGCCTAAAAAAAGAACACAGCATTAAAAATTCCTTAAAAACATCCATACACTCGCTTAGAAAGAAATGCACCTGTTAAAGCAATCAAGGTACCAGACAGTAGATTTGAGTTTCTATCGCATAAATGGATCTCTCAATGTTTCTGTACTAAGACCACAAAAATGCAAACCAACATTTTCCAGACAAGAAATATGCTTTTTTATAAATGTCTAATTGAGGTTCCACAGCACACCACACCACACAACATACTTCTTGTTTTTCTGGTGATCTGTATTGTTGAATGCAAATTATATGATTTGGGATCAGACACTTTCCTAATGGATAAGAAATTACATTAAGCACCAAGTATAAATCTGCAGCACTGTAGTCATTCACACAAAGAAGTGCGGAAAAGTACAGAAAAATTACATGCTTTTTTGTGCTTCTGGTAGTACTGTAGAATTAATGTCAATACCAAACGCTCTGTGTCAGATGTTGAAATTCAGCTTTTATTAACCAAGGTATACTAATTGAATCTACAGTAGATACTGAGTATAGAGCCTGATGCAATCATTTGCGGAGCTGTAAATAAACAAAAAATTGTTTACTTTATCTGGGTTTTATTTAAGCTTTTATATAGTCCTGTAAAAACAACAGGCTGTGGAATAAAGGGCTGGTGAGTCCTGTTGTGAAGAGCCAGGTAAAAAAAGAGGCCACAAAGTGCTGGTTCTGGCAACTCTCCGCACAGTGAGACAGTGCCTGTGAGGCACTGAGGACTGGAGTCCTGACAAGCAGCGTGTACAGACTCCTACCCTGGCAGCCTTTATCATCTCCTCTGCGATGTATTAACCCAGCAGGGAGGTACATAACAGGACCTGCCAGAGGGATCCTGCATGCAGCTTTGACCAGTCCCTCAGGTCAGCTTTGAAAAATGAATACAGATCAACAAAGTGCTCAAGCATGCACTTCAACAGTCAGCCTTAGAGTACGCTGCAGGCTGGCCCTGTTTGCTTGCTGTGTACCTCTCACCTTCCAGCAGCAGGGGGAATCAGTAGGAACTGCACACTGGTCATTAATCACAGCTGTGCAAGGCCACCCCTTAGACAGTAACTAAACTGTATCAGATGTAAGGGTTGGGCGATAGTGTAACTCTCCCTTGAACTCAGGGTTTTTATTAATTTTAGCTCCTGTGGTTTGAGGTTCTGAATCATAGTAAATGGTCTGCTGGTATGATATGTTGGCCAGTCAGTGCAAGTATATTTGAGGATTTTCCAACCATATGTCTATGGATCCTTTGGTCTTGAGATACTTGTGTTGTGCTCCAAAAGTGAGATCACTTTCGCACTGTATGATTTTATAAAACCCAGGTTTGCAAGACTTATGAAAGACCTTATGACATTGTTATTTTGGCAGATGAAACCGGGATCTATTCTGATGTGCTTAAGTGCCTTGATCCTCTCAGGATTAAACCAGATAACAAGTGTGAGAAACCCAACCCCAATAACACAGTGTTTTACTTTCTGAAACATTAGTATATAGCAGCAGCAGTGGCTCATATAGGACAAGTGTTTTGCTACAGCTCTATCCCCCTGGCAGAAAGTGACCCCTGTCTGCTTCTTACAGCTTCACTCTGCAGGTCTGTGACTCAGTTCCTGAAGAACTGGGAAACTGTGACATTCCTGCTTGATGAGTGTACTGTGAGGAATTTTGTTCTGCATACTGAGCTACAAGAGACAAGAAGCCTCATACAGATGATGAACATGGCAGAATCCAGGGAAAAGTAGACTTTGAATTAGGGGAATAGACTCTGGCTATAACAGAAAAAAGGTATACAGCTGTTATTTCATAAAAGAATTAAAGCTCAATCAGTAGAAGCACCACACTCCTGATAACCTGGGAAACTTGGAGAAGTAAATATGAATCACTTTTAAGGGTGGATATGAAGATGCTCATTTTTTCTTTCAGACTTACATTCTAGTATAAAGGACATGTTTGAGACATGGAAACAAGCCCTTTCTGCAAACTGACATTTATGATATTGATACCATTTCAAAACTGCAGGTACAGTACATGCCTCCAAAATTCACTGTGTCCACTCTGCTGATAAACCAAGTCACAATTAAGGCTGGGTTCTGATGAGACATGATGCAGAAATATCTGACACAGCTTGGCTAACTGCTGTTGGGGTTTTCTCTCCATTATTCTTACTGTTATTTTAAAAAGTGTCATCATTGTGTGCAACAACAGCATGAATCAGTCCTCCTGACTCAAGTCCTGAGGTGGGATTGGGACCCTACCAAACTGGTGCAGGGGTGGGACATTTTGTCTCTGTTGTGGGTCAGAAGGCATGAAGCAAACTGATGCTGCTGTGAACGGAGCAGCTGGTGAGATATTAAGGAGTACAGGATAATGAAGGACTGTTACCTATTTTTACATTGATTAAATACTGACAACACACTTTTATAATGGAAGGGAGGTGCTGATACTACACAGCTAGGATGCAAGTTCCTCATTTGTGAGTAACAAATAAAACACCTCTAACTGCTGTAGCACATTTCTGGCCAGTATGTGAAAGTGCTAACGTGAGCATGGCTGAAGTGCAATAGGCACAGTTAGTTAGCGACTGTTTTAATTCAAGGTAATGTGAACACGGTTCAAGAAACTCTGCATTGTAATATGAATGTGAACTTCTCCTCTGACATGAGAAAAAAATGCAAGACACAAATGAGCTCATATACAGTATGCAGTTGACATACTGTATGATCTTGCTAGAATAAGACATAAGAAGACCAGACGTCCACATTGTACAGCCTCTGCATGACCTAACAAATGATGACTCATTAAAGAGAGGTAAAGTGATATAGAGATAGATTCTAGAGTCATGTAGACTGCAAGTTCCACCTTTGGTCTGGATCTCAGAATCTAGCTGTGTCAATGTTTCCTTCAGGGAGGACACATTTCTGAGAGACAAACACATAGCATAAAAATACATCCTAATCCTGGTCTCTAGGTACATTAAACCCAAACCTAGGCCCCTGCCTGAGTCCCAGTTTGCCCCTAAGAATCCCAATTGTTGTGGAAAAATGGAGTTAACGCGCTGCTTCAAGAATGAACATTCACTCTTCAAATGCCTTCTTTTAATGTCTTGACACATAAGATATTGGAAGCTTTTTGATACCAGCGTACGGTAGAGCCACGAACGATGTATACATCTGGGTTACAGTATTTACACACAGCTCGCTTTCTCCGCCTTTCTCACCTGTTTTGATTTTGTTGGAGCAGCCAGTGCATCCCGTGTTGAAAGTACATCTCCTGCCCGCGACAGGCTGCACAGCTCTGTAAGCGGCGGCTGTGGTAAAGCCATTGACCCTGCAGGCCTCCCCAAAACAGGGCGACCCCACCGAACCGCAGAAGGCAGGGTGTGGGATCCCCGAGGGGTGCGAGACTGCAGAAGTGAGCAGCTTGGAGCTGGGGCACAGCGTCACGGAGGGCACAGTGGAGGGCGGGTAGGGCACGGGGCCAGTCGTCAGGGGAGGCGAGGAAGCTCCAGGATGGCCGATGTGGAGATAATAGCCTGAGAAGCAAGGATCTGGGCACAGGTAGGGGTGTGTGCCTACAGTCAGGGCAGGATGTGCCAGGGAGTGCGTGGGTATGAGGAACTCTTGTTTGAGGGAGTCAGGAGAATGCTCTTCCGGCTCTGCGTAGGGCTGGCGTCCGAGAAACAGAGCCAGTCTGTGACAGTATTCCATGGACTTCTCTTGGGGACAACAGTAAAATGGGTCCACCTCCGTCTCAGTCTGTTCCTCTTTGACATCCTTCATAGGATACCCCAGCATACTCCGACACTGATTTCCCAATTTGAAGAACCCGTCCCCTTCTCCTGTCGTTCCCTCCCATTCAATTTTTGGGGTAAAACCTTCCTTTTTGCACAATGCACAACTCCCTTGCTGTATCAGCTGGAGTTGCGTCGGTTGCTTGTGTCGCCGTTTCCTTGATTTGGGGTGCTGCTTTCCCCCCACCACTCCACACACTCCCTTGCAGTCAGTCTTTACTCTGCGTTTGTTCCCTGCAGAGGCACTAGTGAGCTTGAGCAGAGCGGCAGCATTAAGTCCTGCTAGGCGCCGAGGGGCAGGGCCATCCGGACAGCCACTCTTTACGCTTTCAGTGTCTATTCGGGCCTTCTTGCGGCTATTGGGACTTCCGCACGAGTCTGATTTCGGAGCATGTGAGCCCTTTGGGGCATCTGACCATTCTCCTGCATTCATCGGATCCTTGGATAGCTCCTTAGAAGAGACACATTCGCCATGTAACCTCTGCGTGGGCTTCTTGGAGTTTTTTGTCCCCTGTTGGAAATCCTCTCTCTCTAGCAGTAAGCTGTTGACCGCCTCTGCATTTAGAGATGCCAGTCTTCGTTTGCGTGGCTCATGAAGAGGTGAACTCAAGTCAGGTTTTGGTTCGGTTTTTGGTTCCAGTGTCTGGTTACAGACTTGGCTGGTTTTCTTACCACAGCTGTTGAACGTACTCATCTCCTGTCCTTCTATGCAGCTCTGCTCATGTATATCACTGGACAGATTTTCCAAATTCACGTCATCTTGCACAGTACTCTCCTCGAGACGCGTCAGCACAACACGACAGTTGCGGGTGCCAACCTCAGCCACACCTGATCTCTTCCTCAGTGGGTAGGACTTCCTGTCCTGTTCTCCACTTAGGTCCTTGCTTTCCTTTGCCCCGCCCTTTTTGGCCACGCCCTGCTTGGTCCTGCCTTCTCGCAGTGGGCACTCAGGCCAGGCTCCTCCCATTGCCTCACCATGCGGCCCACCCCCTACCTGGTCCCGGCCTTCACTCGGATACCTACTCAGAGAATCCTTCTGCCGCGCGTGAGTCATTACATACTTTCCCACAGCGCCTGAGGAGACAGAGAAGGAAAACTTCTTTTAGTACACAACACATTATATAGCAATTCAGTTCTTACAAAAGAAAAAAAAAATGTGACTTTTTTGTATTAATTTCTTTGCAAATTCCCTTGTCCAAAGAGACAAACAATATTAAAATTAATTGTAAATGTACTAAATAAATGGCTGAAATATTGGGTGTTTGATAAATCAAGTAACATTGTATAACTTGTGTTCCACTCTAAACAAAAATTGTAAGAGTACACTAACAGAACAATCCCACAACATTTTTTTTAAATTACCCATTTAAAAATGTTTATATCTAGCCCTTTTACATTTATACAGTATGCAACCATTGTTAAGGATTTCATTTAACACATATTTGTAATGAAGGTTGTTTTAGAGTAAACTCAGCTATTTGGTCTTAGTAAAAAAAAATAGTGCTCACGTTTTGCTGAAAGTTTATATAACTAATTATGCATTCAGTATCATAATTTCATGTCTTCCAGAAAGTCTTCATTAAGAAAAACGGAAGATATTTTTTTCCCCACTTTTGCTTGATACACTAAATTAATTACAGGACTGTAAAATTTACACAGAGTAATGTCCTTGAGCACTTCAACAGTCTAAGAAAAATAATTTAACTGGTCTCTAGCACATAACAAAACTATTTAAAGTTGGTATTGCATATGTGAAGTACATTATTGTGCTAATTAGCGCAACAAATCTAGGTAAACCTGCAAGCGCTCTCTGTGTTCACCTAACGACCAATGAAACATTTGAATTTGGCTGTTGTGGATTTTTTTTTTTACAGTGCACTAAAATGTTTCATCCTTAGAAAACCATAATTGTCAAAACCAAATGAGCTAGGCAAGCTGAATGGCCCTCTCTTGTTTTTAACTGTATTTAATGTCTTATGCTGTAGAGTTGATAAGTCTGACAGACTGTACAATGATTAAGTTGTTTAAATATATCCAAGTTCGGGGCACGAACAAAAATCTTTTTATGCATTTCCCTTCTCTCCTGTTATAAAAGTAGCAATTACTCATCAGATGCTAACATAAGAGAGGTAAAAAGGCTGTTTCCGCTACTGTTAAAAAAAACTTTCTCAGTTCAAAGTACTGCATTTAGATATGCTTGTAAAGAGACTCACAGGGCTCTGGTTGTCTGGATATCTGCCCACAGATAATGACCTGAAAGATCTATAGGTTCAGCTTAGACCTTTCAGATGGATAAGGCATATAATAAGGGTGGCCAGTTAAGAGCAGATTTATAACCACAACACCACACTTGATGACATCTGATCGTTGAAATAATGGATTTCAGCCAGAGATCAGATCTACCATAGGGCTTCGCACATTGTACAGCTACTCACGCTTCAACAAGCTATGAAAATCCACTGAACTCAACAAACTTCACATCAATTTTACAGTAATTTATTTAAGCACTGTACTTTAGGAAATAAGCAGAGGGCTATTGATGGTTTTCTGTTTCTCTTCCGGATTGTTGTACAGTCTTAATGAATGCCAGAGAATTTGGGGGGGGATTTTAATGGCATGCATCCCGTCTGCATATTGTATGCATGTGGCACAGATGTGGTTTCATTGAATATCACCCCTTGTGGCACCACTGCATACTGTACAGACTGATTATTACAAGCTATTCTTCACCCACAACACTTGGACCAGAGCTTAACAGAACATTATGAACTGTTTTCTCACTGTTCTTGAAAGAAGTACAGATTTTATTCTATATATGCATGGCTTGTAAACTGTGAGGGCTGAGAAATATGCATGTTTCTTGTCATCCACACAGCTGTTGTTCATTACTATAGAAATACACACAAGGTTCCTTTTTGCAGCAGACTCTTATGAGGATTTGAGAGCTGTGCACTGCAAAAATAAAAGGTGAGAGGATAAGACCACCTTTGGTATGATGTTACTTGCAAATGTTTCGGCAACAAGAGCAATTTTCATCTTTATTAAACAAATATATTTTTACTTTTTTTAATATACAATAGAAAATTCATTGAAAAGACAATACTGAGTCTTTTTTACTTTAAGCCCTCTCTAATCACAGCATGAGATGCATTTAAGCACAATGCAGATGCAAACTGTTGCAGGCTTCACATTGCGAATATTTCTGGCTGAGCACGTGCCTTGATAGGACGTTTATTAACACAGTAGTGCTCAACAGTCCCACCCCCCAACGCATGGTAAGCCTGATTTTCTCTATAGGATGTGCCTACTGTATATTATCATCACACTGTATCATCGCACCTTGAAGGTGACCAAGCATCAGAAATGACCCCATCTCTTGGCAAAGATCAGGCTTTTGGTTCTCGATTGCCCATTCCAAAAAGCTTTATTCCAGAATGGAAAACCTGTCTAGATGCAGTAATACAAAAACATTTCAGGCCAGAGTTTAAAAAAATATTTATACCGTTAGTTTATGGTAGTCAGTTGGGAAACAAAATTGAAAGGCATTGAACAGAGCTTCTCTCCTAAAACTTGATCCCAATTTAGGTGACAAACTGCATATGGGTTATTCCCATTGTTCCGGATCACTCAGACTTATGCTGCAGATAACAACTGCTGGAAATCTATCAGCAGAAAGGCAAAGTACTCCTTGAAAAATTAAACCATTCACTTCTGAGCCCATGACTTGCACTGTTCTTCTGAAATGCTTCTTGGAGAACAGGAGCAAACTAATAATATTGCAATAATTAAATAAAGGAACAATCCAATAAACTACACAATTATAAAGACCTTATGGCATTTATAAACCAGATGCAGAGCAGAGAGGGTACATTGTAAGACCTTGACATTTCTAGTGTACTAATAGCTTCCTTGACCTTATTTTGGTGAAGAAGGCACTATCTCCCAACTTAGTTTTATTTAGTGTCCCCAAACAAAAAAGCTGTAACATGTAGTAAAAGCAGACAATAATGTATCTGCTGAAGTGTGAAGACTTTATGAATAGGGCATTTGGATTCTTTAAACATGAGGAGAACAGACTTCTTACTGTTGTTTCTTAAATGGTAACGATGACCAGAGTGCCCCATTTATTCAACAACAAGAACTGCATTACACTTCCTGTGGGGTCAGCTATTCATCTCTCTCTTCAGTGATGCTTAAGCACAGGATACCATTTGACTGATATGCAGCGAATCAGGAAAGAGTTCAGATGAAATACAGGGACTTCAAAAAAGCCACACAGAAGTGTCACCAAGCTTGAAAATCAGTCATTGATATGTTTTGTAAAGCCAGTAACTGAGAAAAATGAGTTTCACATTCTGCACCACAGTTTTTATCCACGCTTGCATGTACTGTAAGAACAAGACTAGAAAAAGATTAGAAATTGGGACAGGGTTCAGACTGGCTTTGCATGAGGTAAGCAACACAAAATAATTCATACAACAGCTCAGCTATGACAACATTATCGAGCACACTACTAAACAGACGTCCTATTCACTGAAAGAATTCAGGAAGACAGAAGGATATTTTAAATATAAGTTCTCATTATCAAATGACTCTAACACAAACAGCAGACATTCAACAGGTTTACGTAGTTCCATACCTGAGCTCACTTTCCTGTTTGTGTGCAAATGTAAGGGCTTGCAGGAAAAAAAAAGCCTGCCAAGCTTTAAATGTTAAGAAAAGATTTTGTTACAAAATAAGAAGGCTAATCGAATTGATTCTTGCAAAAATCTATAACTTGATCACTGCACTTGAGAAGAATTCAAGAACTGGAGTCCACGCGTTCGCTATTTTGTTAAAATATGACCCCAGTTAACCTTTCTTTTTCATTATCCTGTTTGTGATCAGACTTCCTCTCCTCTTCAAGGTGCTGACATTTTGCATAACAGGCAAGATGACCCTGATACATGTAGTCTGTGCATGGGTGTGCACAAAAGGAGTATTCCCCATTGAGTGCTATGGAAACAGAACACTCATTGAGGCGGTCAGATGCCATTACTGCACTCCAGAGAGCTCCAAAACAGGCTCTCACTGCTAATCCTTTCCACTTCCTGTTTAGAAAACACACCCATTTCTCCCTACAGTCAGGTGGCAGGAAAGCAACAGAGATGCCTTGTGTGTTAATTGTGTGCACAATTATACAAATAAAAACAGTCTAAACAACACTCCAAAAAAGGCGAATGACAAACAGTGGAAAAGGGTCTTCACTGTACACTTCACAGTTACTAATTTGAGAAATTCAGACAAATATTCCTACAAGGATGCCCAAGGGAAAATCATTATGCTCCTGGAATTTCCCCATAATAATCTTAAAAAGGAAAAGCCACTTTACACCACTAACTCTGTTGCAACCTTTTCACCCTCCATACAGGAGAAATCACTGCACACTTTGATATCGTCTCATTTATCTAAGGAATTCATAAACTGCAGAATGTCCCCCTTGAACATATACATTACAGACCGTTTTTACTTTATTATCTTGGATACACGCCAGTGCCATCTGCTGTCTACTGTCCATGTAGGATGGTAGTTTGATTTTAGACAGAAGAGTTTATAGCAGCCTGTGACTCTAATGAGTGCTGTAATTGATGACAATGTAGGGAGAGCAAGCAGTGGCTGGAAATAACACATATATAAAACACACAAATAGAAATTAGTGCCATCTCACCAATACATCAGAGTCTCGAGCATCTGACACTGAAGAGCATCTATATATCTATAGTGTATGCAAGCTAGCAACACAAACTCTGATCCTCAAATCTGGCTTTCCAATTCAAATACATAAAACTGTAAATGTTAATGAAAATGCAATGTTTTGATGAAAAAAATGTTGAATTTTCCCAGTATTTTCCTTGACACACAAGGCAGCACTTGAACACACTAATTTAAATGAATAATTTCAGTTTAGTACACAGGAAAGCATCAGCTAAACATAAATCAGATTAAAAAATGCACTTTATTTACAATACATTATTTTAAGCTCACAAAAAACCATTTAATTAAGAGATAGGAAGGGAGACAGAAGTTTAAAATCT